ACATCACTCCATCTCTTCTCTAGCCCGTGCTGTGCCCGTTTATCCCCCTTGATCCGGCCGAACAAAAGCTGTTTCGGCATGCGGTGGCTGGGCATGCGGGCTACATGGCCCAGCCAACGCAGCCACACGCGGCCACACTACCCCACACACACGCACAGCCACACGCACTGTCACTGTTCCCTTACAAGCCAGCACATGAAAAATGTAATAAACATTAATGGTGAAATGAGCTCAGTTCGTGATCAATGGTGTTTACATACGAGCAGGGCCTTAACGAGGTCTCTCCTCATCTCACCTCGTGCCAGCTGGCGTCTCATCTGGTCTCTCATCATCGCGAGTCAAACATCACCACCATCGTCGTAATTTAATTAACCCATCTCTCGTCTCTAATCTCATTTAAAAATTGCATCTGTCACCTCTGCTCACCTCGTTCCTATCGATGTCTCTTAATCATCTCACCCCATCTCCCCTCTTCTTCATTCGCACGTCATGTCCCCTCAAGTATCCCCTCACCTCTTCACCCTTTCCACCTCACTGCATCTTCTCTTAGTTCATGTCCACCCTCACCTCCCCTCGTCATACGTAACCTCTCCCCCTCCGCCCTCAGCTCACAGTCACCTCACCTACCGCCACTTTGCAGCCTCTCATCTAACGTCCCCTCAGCTGACGTCATTTCACCCTCACCTCATCTCCTCTCTTTCTCACCTCACCGTATCTCCGCCTCGCCTCACATCTCCTCACCGCACATCATCTCCCCCCCCCATTTATTCTTCCCTCCCACAACCTCATCCCATCTACCCCTCCCCTCCCCTGCCCTCCCCTCACCTCTCGTCGTCTTCCCCGCTCTCAACACCTCTCCTCCTGGCCGTGCCGGGTCTGCCGCCTCCTCTGTACGCACGGCGCTCACGCACGCGCGGGGCTCGTGACGTCCGCGAGGGACGACACCGCGACCCCGGCGGGGAAGATTTATGAGCCTCACCCCCCTGCGTCTCTCCCTCCCTTCTCCCCGACTCTACCACGATCGCTGGCTGAGTCTCCCTCTCACTGTGCCTCTCCGTTCCTTTCCCCGTGTCTCTTTCTCTCTCTCCTCCTCTCTCGCTGTAGGTCTCCACGTTTCTCCTGTCCCGCTTCCTTGTGTCTCTCTCCCCTCTCCCTACGTCTCTCTGCCTGTGTCTCTCTCTCAATGTCTCTGTCTCTCTGCCTATGTTTGCCTCTCTCTCCCTCGTGTATTTCTAAAATCCGTCTCGCCGTGTCTCCTCTCCTCCCCTTCCTGCGCCTCTCTTCTTTGCCTCCAGCTTCCTCTCTACGTGTCTGACTCTCACCTCCTCTCCGTGTCTCTCTCCTTCCATTTACATCGTGTCTCTCTCACTCCCCCCTTCCGCCTTTTTTTCTCTCTCCCTCCGAACATCCCCGACATGCCAATAAACCACCAGATTTGTTTGTTCTCCGCCATGCAAAGTGACGCATTTTATTCCAAACGCATGCGTCCTAAACTCCCAGGAAAAACAAACACCTCACCCCGTTTGTTTTGCTCTTTTCGCGTGTCGCGGGCGACAAGGTCATCACGGCTACTGGCGCTGATTCTCCACCACCAATACCACCACGCACCGACGGACTAGAGCTCGCCATCGCCGCCTTCCTGCTGCCAACATTCCGCCGCCAGGCGCTGCTCAGCAGCCCAAGATCTTTTCTTCCAAGGATGCTCAACATCGCACTTCACCATCAGCCACGATCAATCCACTGGTGGATGAACCCCCTACTTCCCCCCCCCCCCACTCCTACACTAGCCCCCCTCCCACCTCCCCACCACGCCGTCACCATCTTCCAAGATCCCGCGATGTAACAATCCACCGAGCAATTGCCCACGAGCTGATTTCATTGCTCCATCTCCTGTGAGAATGTACTTTCCTATGTCTTCCATTCCATCATTATTCTTAACCGGTACACAATCGGTTATGAAACTACTGCCACTCTATGCTTTTTTCTATAACCGAATAGAAACGGATGGAAAAGTGGCGCAGTGGTTAGCGCACTCCACTGTGGAACCGCTTTGTTGGAGATTAAAGAGGAGCAGCCAAATCTGTCTCCAATCGAGTCTGGTTCCACATTACATCTCGAGGGAGCTTGCCGTTTTACATAACTTTCTTCTTATTATGTATATAACTTGTTATAAATAAATAGATATATCATCGTTTAGATTCTGATTCGTTCCTTCCTCGGCCACTGTTGCTCATTCCAAACCCTGCGAACTCCACATTCGGAGGAAACAAACTCAAAATATTCGTGAAAAACATCGACGTTTTGGGAATTGTCCCTTCTTCATAGTACGTGAAACTTGTTGTTGACGGATGGGTGTGTCGATTTGTTGTTGTGGTGGTGGTGGTGTGTGCGTGTGCACCACTGCGAACGCAGCAGCAGCATCGCTGAATGAGTAGTTACAGATCAACAGAATCGTCGAACATTGTTGCGATTTCTTGGTAGTTCTACATCGCCTCGTCGTTCGTGAAAATTACATCTCGCTATCGCCAGACAAGCTGGGAAGGCAGCCAGACAGTGAACTGGGGCTACCAATAATTACCCAAGCTCTGCTGCCCTATATATGTGTTAAGACGTCATTCTATACATATATTAAGATGTGGGAGAAAAGCGAAGCACCCGGAAAAAAACCCCACGTGTGCGCGAGGGCCAATGCTCGATCCCATTCAGAAGAGACCGACGATGATTATAATAATACAAACACTCATTGACATTTGTAAGGCGCATTTAATCCGTCGATCCGAACGCACTTTGCTGCACTGCGTTCACCTGGCGAGCCGGGGTGTGGCAACTTCGTCGGCGTCGACGGGAGACGGGATTGTGTCAATGTGCGTGTGATCCACCAACCCCTCGTAGATTTCAGGCTACGTGGGCGGCCACCACTGCCCCCGCCTGAGAAGGGACGCAGACGGAGGGCAGAGGAAAGAAACGCCCGCGGGCAGCGGCGGCCTGCAGCAGCAGCAGCATCAGCAGCAGCAGCACCTGCAGCAGCGAGACGAAATCAAATAATTCGGAAGCTACTGCTGAGACGTGAGTTTAGGAATGGAAAGAATGAGCTTAGGGATTGAAGGAATGAGTTTAGGAATGGAAGGAATGAGTTTAGGAATGAAAAAGGAATGAGTTTAGGAATGGAAGGAATGAGTTTAGGAATTGAAGGAATGTGTTTAGGGATGTAAGGAATGAGTTTAGGTGTGGAAGGAATGAGTTTAGGAATGGAAGGATTGAGTTTATGGATGGAAAGAATGCCATTGCCCAGCAGTGGGAAGTTGTCTCTACAAAAACAACAGCAAAGTAGAACAAAATAACCCATCGTGAAAACGCAAGCGAAAGTGTGTGAGACCGAGTCTCGAGCGAGTCTTCACAGTTGTATGTTCAAGACGAGAGACGTTCGGCTGCGACAGAATAACCTACTTTCTGGGTATAGGGAATGTGTGATTAAAAAAAAATATATAAAATTTGTTGTTTTATTATTTATATAAATGCGCTCATAACTTGTTATCCAGATGTCCGCTCGTACCGGGAGATGATTTACTGCACAGGAAGGGGCCAGCTGATGAGATGCCTGTACTCCAATCCGCGGTATTTGGCAACTCCACTCCCCCTCAGGCCCTTATCCAAACTACCAGGGCTGGGACCATTCCGTCGATTAAGCCGAGCGATTCGAATAATCGACGAGGCCTATAAAATCGACTCATTATTTGCGGTCGGTGTTTCGAACTCCCTCCAATCATGCCTGCCACCTGAACGCAGGTAACCCCCCTCCGCACCCCCAAACCTCTACAAGCCACCATAGCGGCACAATTGTGGAACAGAAGCGAGCTATTTTGTTACCAACTATTTTAGTTGAGTAACCGAATGGATAATTGGCAGAGAAATCAGATGGCTGTGCTCTGCAGACTACCACAGACATATACTGTATATATCCCCGCCATAACCCCCCTGTATTCACCACTACCATGACCGATATCGCCCGTGGCCTTTCTTAGGTAGCACCCTCTTCATCCCAACACCCCATCACCGCCCCCCAAATCCACTTCACCCCCCATCATCATCATCTCCCCACCCCTCACTCCGACCCCCCTCCTCGTCACTCATAGCCTCACACAAAGTAAAACATCTCTCAGCGTTCCGGGAAATAATAGGCGTGCGCGTGTGTGTGTGCGTGCGTATACGTGGGAGTCTATGTGAGTGTGTTTGTATAATGTGGGTGTATCTGAGCGGAGCGGTGGAGCAGTGGTTAGCGCACTCTGCTACGGACCGGGCAGATTGTGGTGCTCGCTAACAAACCAACAATCTGTGCAGGCAATGCGGGGGGGGGGGGGATCCTTGTCTTTGTGTGTGACTGTGCGTGGGGGCCGAGTATCCGTTCACAGCCAGCACAAGTGGCAATTTTCTGAACCGGTACTGGGCCTCCCCTAAGTCGACTCAGCCTCAAATGAGTACCTGGTGCGGTATGTAAGCATCGCCACTCGGCAGACAAAGGTGGCCAGGCGTGGTGATGGCCACCCACCCCCTCGTGTGTGTCATAGCGGCCTTCAAAGGTGCTGCTCGTTTAACCGCACTTGCCCCTACAGTCGATTGCGACCAAAGGGAGGATCTTCGTCTTTCTATGTCTGAACCCCAAGTTAAAATCCCGCTCACAGCTAACATCGGTCACGAATATCTGAACAGGGAATTGAGCCTCCCCTAGGTCGGCTCAGCCTGAAATTAGTACCTCGTGCGATGTGTAATCCGTCAGCACTGGGGAGACAAAGGCGAGCGGGCGTGGTGCTCGCCGCACCACCCCCTCGTGCGCCGTGCAGTCCTTCATCGGTGCTCGCTAACGGCACTTGCCCCCAACAGTCTGTTAGAGGCTGCACGGGGGATCTTTGCCTTTGTGCTCATTATGCGTGTGCGCGTGCGGCCGAGTGTTTGTATGGGCGTGGGAGTGTGCGTCTCGAGTGTTTGTGTGCATGAGCGAGCGCGCGCGCGTGCGTGCTGAGACGTGCGTATGTGAGTGCGCGCGTGCGCGTCTGTCCGTGAGCCAATAAAAGGACGCAATATCCGACGAACGTCAGAAGTTCGGACGCAGCCCAGACAGATATATATACACAGGCGCGCGGCGTGTAACACGAGTGCGCTTTCGCTCAGACCAGCTTGGCTGACTCAGCGAGATATCCTCTCCTCCTTCTGCTCCTCTGCTCCTTCGGCTCCTTCTCGCTGTGTGCACGAGAGTTTGCGTGTTTTTTTGTTTCCCTTGTTTTTTATATTTATTTCAGAGATCAAGAGAGAGAGAGCGGGGGAGAATAAAAACCTCACTTATTCCCCCCACTTCGACCACAGTCTCACAAACACATCGACGCCGCCGCTGCTGCTGCTGCTGCCGAAGGGACCAAGAGTCTAGGAAGCCTTTGTAAGCAGCGCAAAGATCGTGCCGCGCCTCTCTGTGTGAAGTCGTTTGAACATCGCCGTGTGTCGCTGCGGCCGGGTGCACGTGTTGTTGCAAGGATACCTGCAGGGAGACGACGATGATGATAACAATGCTCATCGTCTATGCGCTGAGCGCGATCTCACAACGCGCCGCTGCCCATTCCACATTCCCGGACGGCGCCACGGACACCTTCACGCCGGACGTGAGCAACGGCCCCGGCAACCGCGTGCTGGTCTCGTTCCGCGCCTTCGGCAGGGAATTCTCGCTCGATCTGGCGCCAGGCGACGTCGACGATCGCGAGCAGCAGACGAGTCGAGGTGCGGAGGTTCGCCTCTCCCAGCTGCGCTCGTGCGTGCGTCGCGGCGTCGTGGACTCGAGGCCGGACTCACTCGCCGTGCTCAGCCTCTGCGGCGGAGGCGGCCTGAGGGGTCTCTTCGCCGTGGGGGGAGAACACTTCGAGGTGACTCCAGTTGAGGGCGGACGAGCAAGCAACGGCAGCGTGCGTCCGCACTCCATCACCAGGACACACGCGTCATTCCAGCTCGCTCCTCACGGCATTCCTCCTCCCGCTGCTGCTGCTGCTGCTGCTTCTGCGTCTGCTGCTGCTGCTACCGTTGCCGCTACCACCGTGAAGACCACAGCCAGAGCCGCGAGATCCAAGCGCTTCGTGTCGAGGCCACGCTACGTGCAAGTGTTGGCCGTGGCCGACGACACGATGGTGGCCGCGTACGGGGATCGCCTCGAAGAGCACCTCCTCACGGTGCTCAGCGCCGCGGACGGACTGCTGAGGCGCGCCAGCCTCGGCAGCCCCGTGCGTCTCACCTTGGCCAGGGTCGTGGTGGCCTCGGGGGACAAGGCCGGCTCCGGCAACGGAGCCAGGACCCGGCTGGAGGTGTCCTCCAACGCGGCGTTGGCGCTGCGCGACTTCTGCAAGTGGCAGCTGCAACTGAACCGCCGCGGGCAGCACCACCCGGAGAGACACGACACAGCCGTTCTCTTCACGCGCAAGGTGAGCGTTTGAGTCCCAGCCAAGGTGGTGCTCCCCTCTCTCTCTCCCTCCATATTCCCCGCCACCTCAGAGTAATGCCCCCATTTAATTATTATTCTCATCATCATCATCATCGGTAGTTATGGTAAATCCACTGCTGGACGAAGGCCTCCCAAATCCGCCTCTACCTTCTCACGGTGCTGTGATGTCGATGGGTGACATCCCCAAGGCGTCCTGTTTTTTTCATTATCTTTATAAGTTGGGGGAAAACCCGCATTGACGATCGTGGGGAAGTATGGTCAACGCCTCCGCCCCCTGTTGAGTGCGGGTTGCCCCAGTTTGTAAAATAAAACAACGCCTACTTCGGTGGATGGACGCGGCTTGTGAATGATGGGACAAGTGCTGCTGGATGGAGGAGGGCAGCTGACCGAGACGGCCGTTGAAGTTGCAGCCAGAGGTCACAGTGGGGGCTTTACCGACCCAGCAGGGGCGATACGGCAGAGTCGAGCTTTGACCGGGAATTTTAAACTCTTAACCTTTACTGCTTGCGAGTCAAGGGTTATTCCCTCGACTGCCTCCTTGCGCAGACTCAGCCTCGAGTTCCACACTGCTGCTGCTGCTGATCTGAGCCTCGCGCTAAACAATGACAAAGATACCCCTCCCCCCCTATAGTCTTAACAGGTTCTTGGGAAACGTGATGTTACTGAGCACCTATGAAGGCGAACATGGCACACGAGGGAGTGGGTGGCCAACACTATGCCCGGCGCCTTTATCTCCCCGGTGCTAATCTTTACACACTGCACCAAGTGCTCGTTTAAAGCAGAGTCGAATCTCGGGACGCCCAGGACCTGCTTCAGATACTCGCCACCGATTGTTGCACCGTGAGCGGAAATAGATCTTCGGGTTCGCAGGGTTCAGCGATAACCAATTCGCTACCACTCGCGCACAAAGAGATCCCCCCCCCCCACGTCGTCAGTGAACCGAGTAATCTGCCTCCGGTGGAGGGTGACGCTAGAGCCGATAGAGAGCAGGTGAAGGCGTGCTGCAGGTGACACGCTCGTCAAGGACGAACGACGGCGACGATAATAACGCGAGTGATTTACAGCACTTTTGCCAATCCGCTGCTGGAGGAAAGTCGTCGTGGGCCATTGCTTGACCGCACTTCACCAGGCTGGTCAGTGCCGATTTGAGACGGGCTCGGCGGAGGGTGGGGAAGGGGGGCAGATCCCGTTCAGATATAACTCACCACTGATGTCAGCTGCGGACGAGAATAGGGGCAGTGCGCTAACCAGTGCGCCACCGCTCCACCTCGCCAGTATAATACACTCTGTAGTACCTGCAGTGTCAACGTTTAATAAGCCCGGGTGCTGTGCGATTTCGTCGCGACAGGCAAACCCCGAGCCTACAGCGGTTCCGGGGTCAAGACAATTAATTAGGGGTCCAATTAGCGTTGTGCTGTTCTCGGAAGCTAAGCAAAGTTGAACCCGGGTCAGCGCTTGGATGGGCTTGAAACGGGATGTGCGAGTCGGCTGCTGGGTGGGTGGGGGCAGTGTTGTAGGCCACAACATCCATCGTTGTACTGTACTTCTATGTTCCAAACGTTTGCGATCTCTCCTCCTCATCAACCCGCACTGATTAGCGTAAATAATGGGGAAAGAACCACCACACGGACCCGCATGGCGTGAGGTGGGGGAAGGGTTTTGGGCCTCATCATCATCATCATCATCCAGCAGTTGATTGAACAAGGAGCTTAGCACGTGTCACGTGCAATCTGACAGGGAGTGCCGATGTGTGTTTGAATCCTCCGTTGGCGATGTTTGCACCGCGGCGTGACTGGTTGGTGTCTGTTGATGAGCGAACGAATGAGCTAATTGGTGCTTTTATGATTGAATAAATGGGGGACAGAACAAAAATGACTGTAATAATTTAAGAAATTAAAGTGTGAAACGTACAGTATACACGAACGACTCAACGAACTGTAATGAACGAAAAAAACGAGCAAAACCATCTGGTGGGAACGCACCCGCGAGCGTTTTGACGGCCGAATTAAACACACGCCCGCACAAATAACACGCGTGGCGAACGAACGCACGCACGAAGTGAACGAGTGAGTGAAGGAATGACGGAAGGCACGTGCCCTTGCAGGATCTGTGCGGCGCGCAAGGCTGCGAGACGCTGGGCATGGCGGACGTGGGCACCGTGTGCGACCCGGAGCGAAGCTGCGCGGTCGTCGAGGACGACGGCCTTCAGTCGGCCTTCACAGTGACCCACGAACTGGGTTAGACTCCCACCCCTGTCTCTCTCTCTCCCTTCCTCTCTCTCTCTCTCTCGCGCTCGCTCGCTGGCTCTTTCGCTGGCTCTCTGGCTCTATCTCTTCAGCCACCGCCGCAGCTGTGACATCTCCATACCCCCCAGTACGGCTGCTCCATTCTCCACGCACAAAGACAAAGATCCCCGTATCATCCTGAACAGACTGTTAGGAGCGAGCGCTGTGAGCGAGCGCCTATGAAGGCCGGCACGTCGCCACGAGGGGGTGGGTGGCCAACACCACGCCCGGTCGCCTCTGTCTCCCCAGTGGCGATGTTTACGCACAGCACCAGGTACTCATTTGTGACTGAGTCGACCTCGAGGATGCCTAGTACCGTGATAGATGATCGTCACCGGTGTTGCCCGTTAGTAGGAATCGAACTCGGTTCGCCGGGTTCGTAGCCCGGCGCGCTCACCGCCACACGACCACTCCCCCGCACATAGCTCCACGCACAGACACCAAAGACAAAGGCGCGCACACACACACACACTCCCCCGTAGCTAATCTATCTCCCCCAACCATCCCTCCCTCCTCCCACCCTAACCTCCACACTGACCCTGACTCCCACCCCCCTCTCCCACCAAAAATCACCCGCCCCTCCCCTCCTTCAATCCCCCCCCACCACTCCTTCCTTCACCCGGATCCCCCACCCTGACCATGACCCCCAACTCACCCCCGCCCCCCCCCCCCCCTCATTGAGACGCATTTCCCTTTTGGTGCAAACTTAGATGTTTAATAATCGTCATCAGCCACGACCTGTCCACTGCTTATTCCCAAAGCTGGTGGCAACTCTCACGGCCCTGAGGTGCAGCACATCTGTCCGGCTCAAGGGTCGGCGACCTGCAGTTCCGGAGCTGCATGGGAGTCTAGTTTACCATGAAAGTCCAGTTTACCATGAAAGTCCAGTTTACCGTGGGAGTCCAGTTTACCGTGGGAGTCCAGTTTACCATGAAAGTCCAGTTTACCATGGGAGTCCAGTTTACCATGAAAGTCCAGTTTACCATGGGAGTCCAGTTTACCATGAAAGTCCAGTTTACCATGGGAGTCCAGTTTACCATGGGAGTCCAGTTTACCATGAAAGTCCAGTTTACCATGGGAGTCCAGTTTACCATGAAAGTCCAGTTTACCATGGGAGTCCAGTTTACCATGGGAGTCCAGTTTACCATGGGAGTCCAGTTTACCATGAAAGTCCAGTTTACCATGAAAGTCCAGTTTACCATGGGAGTCCAGTTTACCATGGGAGTCCAGTTCACCATGAAAGTCCAGTTTACCATGAAAGTCCAGTTTACCATGGGAGTCCAGTTTACCATGGGAGTCCAGTTTATCATGAAAGTCCAGTTTACCATGAAAGTCCAGTTTACCATGGGAGTCCAGTTTACCATGAAAGTCCAGTTTACCATGAAAGTCCAGTTTACCATGGGAGTCCAGTTTACCATGAAAGTCCAGTTTACCATGGGAGTCCAGTTTACCATGAAAGTCCAGTTTACCATGAAAGTCCAGTTTACCATGGGAGTCCAGTTTACCATGGGAGTCCAGTTTACCATGAAAGTCCAGTTTACTATGGGAGTCCAGTTTACCATGAAAGTCCAGTTTACCATGGGAGTCCAGTTTACCATGGGAGTCCAGTTTACCACGAAAGTCCAGTTTACCATGAAAGTCTAGTTTACCATTGGAGTCCACTTTACCATGAAAGTCCAGTTTACCATGGGAGTCCAGTTTACCATGGGAGTCCAGTTTACCATGAAAGTCCAGTTTACCATGGGAGTCCAGTTTACCATGAAAGTCCAGTTTACCATGAAAGTCCAGTTTACCATGGGAGTCCAGTTTACCATGAAAGTCCAGTTTACCATGGGAGTCCAGTTTACCATGAAAGTACAGTTTACCATGAAAGTACAGTTTACCATGGGAGTCCAGTTTACCATGAAAGTCCAGTTTACCATGGGAGTCCAGTATACCATGAAAGTACAGTTTACCATGGGAGTCCAGTTTACTATGGGAGTCCAGTTTTCCATAAAAGTCCAGTTTACCATGGGAGTCCAGTTTACCATGAAAGTCCAGTTTACCATGGGAGTCCAGTTTACCATGGGAGTCCAGTTTACCATGAAAGTCCAGTTCACCATGGCAGTCTAGTTTACCATGAAAGTCCAGTTTACCATGGGAGTCCAGTTTAACATGGGAGTCCAGTTTACCATGGGAGTCTAGTTTACCATGAAAGTCCAGTTTACCATGGGAGTCCAGTTTAACATGGGAGTCCAGTTTACCATGGGAGTCCAGTTTAACATGGGAGTCCAGTTTACCATGAAAGTCCAGTTCTCCATGGGCAGGGCTCGGCAACCTTTTGGCTCCAGAGCCCCATGTGGCTCATTGAGGCTGTTTAGTGACGTTCTTTATTAAGGACCACCTGTCTCGTGCATTGCGGCTCGTGAAATATTGAGGTTTTAATATTTGTTTTTACCAAATTCGGAAAAAAATATTGGTCACCGACCCCCCACCCGCCGCCCTCCTGCTCTGGCTCTTGCACATGTGCCAAGCTCATTTCATCATCTGGTCCATCTCTACGGTGCCACATCCTGCCGTGCGCGTTCTGTCCTTTGGCTGCCACGCCGTCTTGGGTCTTGGCCGCAAGCTGTCATTCCTTCTGGGGGGGACGCGCTTCTGTCCAAGCCCAGGCAATGTGATGTCATGATGTCACTGACCTGTGCTGTGTTCTCTGATCCGTGTGCTTGCTCGCTGTTCCTGTCTCTACCGTGTAAAGTTCACGCTCGCCTGCCCTTCTCCCCGCTGTTGATTTCACTTTTCATCTTTCGTTCCATTGTGTTCGTAAATGTCCATATCCTTACGTCACAGGAGAGAATTTGGCGTTGATGTGAGAGAGAGAGAGAAAAAAAAATAACCGCTTATTTATCACGTGGATATTTTCATGGCTTGGCCTCTGATGATATTGGACGCATTCCGAGCAATTTGGTCATCCGCAAAGTACCATTATGGCACGCGGAATTATCAAACCTTCTCCTCCGCTCCACCCCTTCACCCCTTCACCACAAACTCCCACAGTCCACGCCTCTGCCAAAACTGCACCAGAGCGTTAAAATAAAAAAAAAAACTGCAAAGAGCATTAATTCTCACATCTTTCTCTCTCCACCACCACCCTGGCTCCCACCTTCCCTTTCCTGTCCACCCACCCACCCCACACCCTTTCCTTCCCCCTTGCCCCACCATTCAATGCCCCCCCCCCCCCCATTACATCGCTCCCTCTCTCCCAGCCTCCAACCTCCCGCGACCCATCCGACCTGACCCGGCCAACCGACCAAGGCCACGTCCACGTCACATCACCCAATCTGCATTCGGGTGCGAGCGACGGTCGCGACAATGGATGTTGACGAGCGGTCCCCTCTCTCTGCCAACACCCACCACCCACCCACCCACCCATTCACCCACAGGCCACGTGCTCGGCATGCCCCACGATGACGCGGCCGCGTGCACCGAGAAGTTCGGCCCGGCGCGTGCCAGGCACCTCATGGCGTCCGTGCTCAGCGGCCTCGACTTCGGCTCGCTGTGGTCGCAGTGCAGCGCCGCGTCTCTCATGGACTTCCTGGACGACGGGCAAGGTGAGGCATCCCCCACCCACCCTGTAAACCCCAGTTACTCCCCCCCCCTTCCCCCACCACTACCAACTCGGCAGTGCTGCTGGCCCATTGGAGGCTCTGAGCAGAAATTGCTTTTTAGTGGACATTGGATCACCCATCCACCCACCCACCTGCCCGTCCGCACGCTCTTTCAATTGACCGATGCACTCCTCGTGAGATAACAGGCGAAGAGATGGAGACGGATATAGAGATTTAGTGAGACGATATAAGAGACGCAAACAAGAGTGAGTTGACCAAGGTTCCAGGACTGGAAATTGATGTTAGCCGTGACCGGGGAATGAACTCAGGTGGCTGGGTTGGTCGTGCACTTTTCATTGACCAGTCCCCACGGCGTGGGGAGGCCCTCATCCAGCAGTAAAGCGACGTAAGGGCTGTACATGTACAATGCATCATCACGATCATAATCGATTAATGAATTATCCCCATTTTGAATGTATACCATCAGCAGCATCATCATTATCATCAGTTGCATCACATCAGTGGCATCTGTGACAGCTGCTGAACGTCTATGAAAAAAGAGCTTCATAGCTCATCGGAGGTTAAAGAAAGGTGTCAGTGGGGGATTAAAGGGAGGGGGGGTCACTGGGGGATGAGGAGGGGGCGTCAGCAGGGGATGATTGTGGGGGGTGCAGCGGTCAGTGGGAAATTATAAATTTTTATGGTTTTGCCGCTTTACCCAGGAGCGCATCACCGAGTGTCTCGACTCTCCTCAACTCTCTTCCAGGAGGGCCCTGGCCCAGTTCTCCCAGTAGGGGGCAATGTTGCTGCTCTGGGTTATCCCAATTGCGTAATTTGCAGTCTAATCTTTCAGCATTCGGATTATTTAGGGCCGATACGAATGAATTTATTTTGATTTTTATTCGTGTGATTAGGAGGGGAGGGGGTCCATGGGGGGATCTAGAGGAGGGGTCATTGTGGGATGACGGGGGAGGGGTTGTGAGGTATGAGGGGAGGGGTTGTGGGATCTGGACTATAGCTTGTCCATGGGCCTTAGCCAAGCGCTTTTTGGCAGGACTCAGCAGAGCTCCTGCCAACACAGACTCGACGCTGTGTTTACGGAGTAATTTCTTTACCCCCCAATTTTTTTTTAATATGTGCAGAACATTAGCGAGCCTCGCTCGATTCTTCATTTTATTTATTTTTATTTTGCTTGCCAAAGGAATTATCGTTCCCTTGGAGAGCTTTAAAGGAGGTTTTTATTTTTCTTCTTCGCGTCTATTACGTCGTGCCGCCTTCATGTTCATGACCTAAATTGTTGAAGTCTTGAACCTGCATCGACTGTACATTGCAACGTGCGCAGGGCCTTGTCTCGATCCACTGCTGGATGAGTGCCTCCCCGATGCCGACCAGTGCCGGTTTGGTGAAGGCAGGTAGCGTAGATTGTTGAAGCATAGTACAGTACAACAGTGCATTTTGCTGCACTATTGCCCTCTGCTGGGGGGTTGCCACTTGTCACTTTGGAGTCGACCTGACTCAGCTCCGGGAATTCTTGGCGTGTGGGTTCGGATGGCGATCAAATTGATTTGTACCGAGATCTGGCGGTGGCATTGTGATGAGTTCGATTGCAGTGGGATGCACAGCTTTGTAAATGGCACAGAGTACTGACCGCGAAATATGTCCGGGTTTGGACTACAGTGGAAAAGGTGGCAGCCCTGCACTTCAGAGTCAGAATATGTATCCATACAGGAGGAATCCGATGAGCAATGAAGCTCTTTTTCAAAGATGTCCAGAAAGGGCAGGTCAAAACGTTACAACAACAAACAGCACAAAAACATGGTAGCAGTGCAAAGTAAAGGAAAGATAAGCAAATTACTTCAATATATACAAATATAACCATACTAGTTTATCTTGCCAGCTAAAGCCCACTTAGCTATTCGCTTCTTTTTCAGAAGCGACCTGGCCCCAAATGATTGTTCAGCGGCTTATAATGTGGAAATTTATCGCAGCAACATCATTTAAGTCACCTCAACGCATCTCAAACCTGCCAACCCTTGGCCGCTCCACCGATTCCAACGGCCCAGACGTCAATTCGAGGACCTGACCACACACGCAGCGTCGTGCTGGACTTCCATTACGGTCAACTGCACAGTTTGGATAGCTGGCGTCAAGCTGTCAAGCTTACCGCTTCTACTTCTCGTCTTAGGCTCGCCTGGTATGCAGGACGTCGTGGTTTCGGTCCTGACCCTGACGCCTGCTGTATATTTGGAGTTTGCGCGTTCTCTCTCCTCGTGGTCACGTTCATTTTTCTCCGACCCCTTCCGTTTCCCCCCCCCCACCCTCCACATTTAGAATGAACGTGCGTTTATATTACTTGACTGCCACGATACATTTCCACACGACGACAAGTCACTTCGTCGAACTATCATTTGTGGTCGCCGGGTCTCCTGAAAAAAAGAAGAGCTAAATATTCCCGTGGGATTTTTGTGTTACCTGGTCACACACACAAATTGTAAACAAACCACAAAAAATGTCTCCTTTGCTCCCACGCCACAGGCGACTGCCTCCTCAACAAACCCCGCGCGGGCCCTCGTCTGCCGGCGGTCGCGCCGGGCTCGGTGTACGGCGCGGACCGGGAGTGCCAGCTCGCGTTCGGGCCGCGCTCCCTCGCCTGCCCCGGCATGGACGTGTGCCAGCGGCTGTGGTGCACGGAGGAGCGTGCCGGGCGCTTCGTGTGCCTCACCAAGAATCTGCCCGCGGCCGAGGGCACGCCCTGCGGGCACGCCAGCCAGTGCCTGGAGGGCGCCTGCGTGCCCAGCGCCAAGGTCAAGGCCCTTAAGGTGAGGCGCTGGCCCTGGTGGGTTACGACGAGGCGTGAGAAGGGGCGCCACGGTGGCTGGGAGATGTTAACTTCCTCGCCCGGTATACAGGAGGTCGTGGGTTCAATCCCGACGCCTGCTGTATATTTGGAGTTTGTATATTCTCTCTCTCCCCGTGGTCACGTGGATTTTTCTCCGGGTCCTCCGGTGTCCCCTCCACATTTAGAATCAACATCCACGCTGCTGTACATTTCCACGTGATAAGCCACTTCGTTGAGCTATTATTTGTGGCCAGGTCGCGTCTGAAAAAGAGCTACATAGCTCAGTGGGCCTTACCTGATAAAATAATAAAAAATGGTTTAGTTTACAGGTTAATTTCGACTGGAGTCGCTTTGTTGTCGATTTTTAGTTCTTCCGTTCTCGGCACGCTTTTAGTCAGGATGGTCTCCTATCCTAAAGTAAGTAAATACCGCTACATTAGTCTTTATTAAGCAATCTATGTCCTTATTAAATAACAATAGCAACCTTCTCTTCTACGACTGTATCTGCTGTACAAACATGCACCCTGCTCATCGCTACCCCCTGCTGACATCACGTACACGTGACGTGTGGCCACAGCCACAGGGAGAGGTGCACGGGATGTGGTGTGCCGGGCGCGTGAATATTGTGTGGGTCGCCAAGGCGGACAGAGCGGAGGGGATAGGACACGAGGTGACTGTGAAGGAGCTGTATCGGAGGGGATGGGACCAGATCATCCATCCTTCATCTGTCTGACTGCCTGTCTGTCTGCGTGTGATGATGACGAAGATGGAGATGATGATGATGATGATACTGCACTATCCAGGCACACATTCTGTTGATCTTCTGAGACATGACTGCGCGAGATCGGGCGGACACAGGGTGCTTTGCTCACGCGGGGCAAAGTGTACCCAGGGGACACGTGGTGTGACTACGACGACGAACGTAGACGGTGCAGTCGGTCACTGATCACGACGACGTCTCCCTCTCGTCTCATCGCAGAAGGTGGACGGCCAGTGGGGCGAGTGGGGCGCATGGAGCGAGTGTTCGCGCTCCTGCGGGGGCGGGGTGCAGCTCTCCTCCAGGGGGTGCGACGCGCCCGAGCCCCGGCACGGCGGCGCCTACTGCGTGGGGCTGCGCGTGCAGTACCGCTCCTGCAACACCCTCGCGTGCGGGGACGCGCACTCCGGTGAGCCGGGCGCGAGCGGGCGCGCGTGGGTCGTCGCGTGCGCGCGTGGGAGTGCGTGAGCGACTGAGTACGTGAGTGAGGGATTAAGCGTTTGAGTGTGTGTGTGTAAGATTGAGAGCGTGTGTGAGTGCATGAGCAGGTGTGCGCTACGAACCCAGCGAGCCGGGTTCGTTCCCCGCTCACGGACAACACCTGTGACGATTATCTGAACCGGTCCTGGGTTTCCCCTAGGTCGACTCATTCACAAATGAGTACCTGGTACGGTGTGTAAACATCGCCACTGGGGAGACAAAGACGGCCGGGCGTGGGGTTGGCCACCCACCCCCTCGTGTGCCGTGCCGGCCTTCATAGGTGCTCACTAACAGCAATTGCCCCAACAGTCTGTTAAGGCTATACGGGGGATCTTTGTTGATCTTTGTCTTTGTGTGTGATTGATTACGTGTGTGAGCGCTACATGACACAGCTGGGTCACGTAGCCCACATGCCCAGCCAACGCATGCTTAAACAGCTTTTGTTCGGCTGGATAGAGGGAGCTAAGCGGGCACGGCACGGGCTAGAGAAGAGATGGAGTGATGTGGTACAAGAGGACGTGGAGCGGAGTGGACTTGCCGATGACCGGTACCAGCGGTGTCAGGATGGGCCTCTATGAGGAGACTCGTGAAGGACGCTACTGGGCAGTTGGAGGCAGTCGCCCTCCAGCAACAACGGACGGCGGAGGAGCGACGCTCACAACAATGAGCGGTGCGCCAGGTGGCTTAAACACAGCAGTAGGGGGCACAGGTGATGCATCGGCCAGTCATCTCAGTCAGTTGACCCATGGCACCTGGGTCTTTCCCGTGACCTCCTGCCAACGGGCCTTCGACACTTCACGTGGCCTCAACGTGCACATAGCCTGGCACAAGCGTCGTGGTGACGTCACCGCCACTTCGTGGCGAATGGCGGTTGTTGTGTGAGCGAGTGTGCGTGTGGGAGTGCGTGAGTGTGGGTGAGTGAGCGAGTGTGCGTGTGGGAGTGCGTGAGTGTGGGTGAGTGAGCGAGTGTACGTGTGGGAGTGCGTGAGTGTGGGTGAGTGAGCGAGTGTGCGTGTGGGAGTGCGTGAGTGTGGGTGATTGAGCGAGTGTGCGTGTGGGAGTGCGTGAGTGTGAGTGAGTGAGCGAGTGTGCGTGTGGGAGTGCGTGAGTGTGAGTGAGTGAGCGAGTGTGCGTGTGGGAGTGCGTGAGTGTGGGTGAGTGAGCGAGTGTGCGTGTGGGAGTGCGTGAGTGTGGGTGAGTGAGCGAGTGATTGGGGAGCTTTGCGCACCGTGATACGAACCCGGCGACACGCGTTCGCTTCCCGCTCACAACAAATAACAGTGGCGAATATTTGAACCGGGTTCCGGGGCGTCACCTCGATCGACTCAGGCTTGATCGAGTTACCTGGTGCGCTGTGTTGAACATCGGTATTGTTGAGAGAAAGGAGGCCGGGGCGTGGTGCTGGCCACCCTTCATAGGTGCTTGCAAACAGCTCTCGCCCCAACAGTCTTTAAGAGGCTCCAGAGGTGATCTTTGCGTTTGTCAGTGAGAGCGTGAAATTACACATTATGACGGGAGGGCGGAGAAGCAGTGCTCACAACAACGAGCAGGCTGTTAAAACGCAGCGTGGTGGCACAGTGGCGGAGCACAGGCAGTCATCTCAATCAATGAACCCACAACATCTGGGTCTGTCCCGTGATCTGCCCAACGATGTCACCACCACTTAGTGGTGAATGGCAGCTGTTGTTGCGATCACCCATACATAACGCGGCACGGGAAACTGTGGCCCCATTTGTGTGCATGCACGTTGACCTTCTTTTGCGCCATACGTAGCCTACAAAAGCGACCCGGGGAAAACAAATAATTGAGTCGGAATTTAACCCCCCACCCCACAGCCCCCCTCCCGCGCAGAGTCAATTATTTATCCCGGCTGCAGAGTCGACCTGCAAAGGGGGCGGCCCCGGCAATAGTTGGGATTTCAGGGCCGCTCACTCGGAGCGGCTTTAACAGCGCCACAGCTTCTGGCTCGGTTCCACCCCTCCTTCCCCCCGCCCCGCAACGGGACCCGCGACTCTAGAAGCCCTAAAACCTCGTTGCACGCTCGTGCCCCCTCGTCCATTTCGAGGTGGCGAGTGGTTGACGCTCGCGCGTTACACCGCGAGAAGAAGGGGCCTGAGGTTTGATTCCCGGCGTTTTTGCAGCAAGGGTCTTGTGGACCACGCAGAGATTTGTGAAACTCCCAAATCCCCCCTCCCCCCCACCCCCCGATGGTGCGACGAGGATGTGGCCAGGAGACGGCGGTAGAGCAAAGCGGGTCCGTGAATCCGTCCGAGTGGAGCTTTGACAGGTGGAGAGTCGAAAACAGCTCGTGAGCTGGGGCGAGACGGTTCGTGGCACCGCGAGTCCGCAAGCCATCGCGCCGCTATGGAGGGGGGGGGGGGGGGGGTGGCGTCCTTCATCTAGCGGTAGATAGATGACAGCTGACGATGATGCTGATGTGCGCGTGCGTAGAGGATGAACTTTGCGACAGTTTCTAACAACCTCCCTCCCTCTCTTCCCCACCCTCCCTCCCCTCCCACAGCGCTGCGCTATCGCGAAGAGCAGTGCGCGGCTCACAACGCCCGGCACTTGGGCCTGCCGGGCCTGGGCGACGCTGGCGTGGAGTGGCTGCCCAAGTACGCGGGCGTGGCCGCCAAGGACCGCTGCAAGCTCATGTGCCGGGCGCGCTCCTCCGCCTTCTACGCCGTGCTAGCGCACAGGGTACGGGGCACGCTGGTTACCCTGGCACACCGCTAGTTACCCTGGCACACCGCTAGTTACCCTGGCACACCGCTAGTTACCCTGGCACACCGCTAGTTACCCTGGCACACCGCTAGTTACCCTGGCACACCGCTAGTTACCCTGGCACATCGCTAGTTACCCTGGCACACCGCTAGTTACCCTGGCACACCGCTAGTTACCCTGGCACACCGCTAGTTACCCTGGCACACCGCTAGTTACCCTGGCACACCGCTAGTTACCCTGGCACACCGCTGGTTACCCTGGCACACCGCTGGTTACCCTGGCACACCGCTGGTTACCCTGGCACACCGCTGGTTACCCTGGCACACCGCTGGTTACCCTGGCATGCTGGTTACCCTGGCACGATTGTTAGTTAACCTGGCATCATGGTTGGTTATCCTGGCACACCACGAGTTAGTTAACCTGGCATGCTGGTTACCCCGGCACGCTGGTTACCTTGGCACACGCTGGCACACTGTCAACGCCGCTGTCGTATCTGCTGATGATAATGAAAACGATGACGATGCCGCTGGTGCGGTTCACGTGGCCCGACGCCGCCGATGAAAACGTCGGCGACGACGCCGCCGACTTTGTCGACTGCTTGACTGACGCCGGCTCGCCCCCACCCCCGTCGCTGTGGCCGCCGTGCAGGTGGCTGACGGCACGGAGTGTGGGCCGGGCGTGCAGGGGGTCTGCGTGCGCGGGCGCTGCGTGCCCACCGGCTGCGACCGCGTCATCGGGTCTCGCCTACGCTTCGATCGGTGCGGCCGCTGCGGAGGGGACGGCTCCACGTGCCGTCGAGTCTCCGGATCCTTCTCCCCGAAACGGTAACCTGGGGGCAGGGGCGGGGGGGGGGATTGGTGGGGTTGCATGGGGTGGAGAGGGGAGGGGTGGTGGTGGGTGGGGGGGGGGGCAGCCGTCAAGACGTGATGAACAGTGACGGAATCATCATCATAGTTATCAACAGCGATATCGATAGTTTCAGCAACAGCAGCTCCTGCAGCATCAGCAGCAGAAAACATTGTCGACATCATTATCCTAATAATCATCAATAACATCATTGTGACAATGATCAATTGCACCATCATCATTAACAGCAGCAGTATGATCATCGACATCATCAAGTAAACTTGAATCACCTTCATCAGCGACAGCATCAGTCACACCACATGTCACTGGGCCACTTTGCACCACGTGAACACATCACCCAGAGTCCGCCCGATGTCGCACAATCGCATCTCAGAAGCACAACAGAATTTGGGCCTGGATAGTGCAGTATTATCATCATCTCCATCATCATCATCAGCAGCACGATTCACAAAAAATGTCACTGAGTCACGAGCACCTCCACTCTATTCCCATATCTACCTTGCACACCACCTCGACCTCATCGCCTGACCCTTCATATCTAACGCCCCACCAACTCTCGTGCCTCACAGCCAGAATGGCCTCAGTTTGATTCCCTACTTGGGCGCCTGTGTGGAGCTTGTATATCCCTCTGTGTCCTCTGGAATCTCTCTCTCTCCAGTATCTTTAAAAAAAATGCCAAAACATCCTCAGAATGTTACAAAAATGAACCAAAATGACCCAAAGTGGGACCCTCCTGTAGAATGAGCGCTACAACTTAGTGTGGCTTTCCTAGACGAACTAAAAAATGCAATCATTATATCTACATATTAATTTAAATGTATCAAACGTTCAAATTGTTCACGCGTACAGTGCTTTGTGATCTTTCAACGAACGCTTCCGCGTGAGTAAAACACAAACTGAACGCGCGTGTAAACATTGTTGTAATTGCCGCACAGGTTTGGCTACACAGACGTGGTGACGGTGCCGGCAGGCACCACGAGCCTCAAAGTGTGGCGCAAGGCGGAGCGCGACGCGCGCGCCTACCTGGCGCTGCGCGACGCCCGCGGCGAGCCGCTGCTCAACGGCGCCTTCACCGTGGCTCCGAGCCGCACGCTCGTGCAGGCCGGCGGCGGCGTCTCGCTGCTGTACAGCGGCTGGGCGGCGCGCGGCGAGAACCTGCGGCTGCTGGAGCCCGGCGCCGCCCTGCGCGAGCCGCTCACCGTACAGGTGCTGCTCACGAACCCCGGCGCGTCGGTGCGCGTCCGCTACGAGTACCACGTGCCCAAGGCGTCTGCGGCGTCGTCGGGAGGGCGGGCGCCGAGCAGCGACGACGATGGGGAGGAGCAGAGCAACGAGATCGACGCCGGGCCTCGGGCAACGTTTGGGGCGGTCGCCAATGCCAACCGTGACGACGACGCCCTGGCCGCGGCGCGTGCGGCCAAGGCGAAGACCCTGAAGCAGCAGGGCGCCACGCTGGTACGGCACGCCAAGAGCCGCTCCGAGGCGGCGCCGGCAGTCGCGGCCGACGCCGGAAACTCGAACCGCGTGGCGGAGCCGAGAGACGGGGCGAGGCCCGCGGACGCCGAAGCTCGCGATTCCCGGGCCAGCGGGGATCGCGACGCCGAGAGGCCACGCCGCGCCGAAGCAGAAGGAGCCGGCGCCGAATCGCCCGGCCGATGGGTGGCCGGGCCGTGGCGCTCGTGCACGCGGCAGTGCGGCGGGTGGCAGAGGAGGGACGTGCGGTGCGTGGGGGCGGGCGGGGTGGGGGCGGCCCAGGGGCTCTGTTCTCCCGGGGGGCGCCCCTCGGCGTTCCGGGCCTGCTTGACACAGTCCTGCCCCTCTGTGTAGACCCCCGGGCGCCGTTCGGCCACGGGGTCGTTGGCGTTACCAGAGCGGTGGCGGCCGTTGCGACGGCAGATTGGCGAGCGGCGGTGTGAGTTCTGCAGAGTTGAGCGGTATCGCTGCAGCTCCCTAAGGCTGCTGCTGCTGCTGATGATTAATCCTGATACCACGAGGCTGTGAATCCTAAAGCGACACACACACGCACGTCGCACGTGCGTCGTGTTTACTAAGTGATGGGGGAGGGGGGGGGGTTAATGGGTTACAAGACAACAGGCAGGGCCCTGGCTCTAATTTTGTTTAAGGAAGAAACGAGGGGCACCTTTCTGGATTCGAGTTCACGTTCAGCCAACACTGACCATAGGTCAAAGTTGACGACGCCGACGATGATGTTGATGATGCTGCTTCATACGATGCAACTACACAACGAGAGAAGCGACGCCGACTGCGCGTGCCTGTGTGATGGCCACTTCTCTCAGACTGCTGCAACACGACGATATTCGGGGCGCAGATTCATTTCTCGATGGATATTTTCCGGGTCGCTGGTAGACTGGAGTCGGCTACACGTGGACGAGTTAGCCACAGCCATTGGCAAGAAGAGGGATACTGGACATGCTGTGCCTCTTGACGGAAATGAAGCCCTGTGCACGAGTGGTCACGCTTATTTCGTTTTCTGATCAACACGACAACGCCCAACCGCGGCATATTGGACGCGTGACCACGACGACCAAATGGTGACGACGGAGGAGACTCGCGAAGGTGCAAGGGGAAGGGTGACGACGGCGATCCGACCGGACGTCAAACGGCGCTCACGCTCGTACCGCGTGGTGCCCGCCGGGCTCCACATGCCGAGAGCTCCCTCAGGTAATAGAAGCTCCCGGGCGCCTGGAGCGAAACGTCGGACGTCGTGCCGATGAACGGCGCGGCACGACCCCCCCCCCCCCTGCGCAGTGGGGATGGAGGCCGTCACGATTGAGAGATGCGGCGATGACAAGAGAGCAGTGGAGAGAGACTGGGAGGAGATGTCGGTGAAGGAAACAGCCATGACCCAACGGCCCACGAGGCCAAGGGACTCGACGACGTCACGTCACGTGTGCGTGTGTGCGTGTGCGTGTGTGTGCGTGTGTGCGCGTGTTGACATTATTTCGCACAGTACGTAGCCAGCCGTGCTTCAGCACGAGGTGCTGGGGTAAAGATTGAAACCAGGACAATGCACAAGCGGCCAAGCGCACCGCAGAGCGACTCGTCGCCGCGTGGGGACTCGGGCCCCACGCGGCGAACACAACAACAATCCACTCCGGACCTCTCCTGGACCACCGGTGATCTGCCTGTCTCCGGACGAGCCAGCACCGCATCCTCCAGCGCACTTTTTTTTTTTGCTAATCGTGTGTCTGTTGTTTGTTGTTGTTTTCGTGGAGCAAATGAATGAATAATTATTAAGAATATTTTTTTTGCAATTAATAATAATGTTATTTTTTTTATTATTACCACACAGCTATGCTATGATGCGCTGCGCGCATGCGAGTTGGCGTGTGCTTGTTACGCGGAACGCGCAGGAAGTGTGGACGCGCAGAGCGGCTGACGAGGTGCAGGGTCACGCGATGACGAAGGACGGGGGAGGGGGGATGATGACGACGAAGACGATGATGATGACGATGATGACGATAATGACGATGCTTCAGCGTGTAATGATGCATTGTTGGTTCGTCGATTAAAAAAAAATCACTCGCAACACCTTTTCACTGAGCCCCGCGTGTAAGGATCGATCGTTTTTCACTTATTTGTTTGTGTGCGGTGCATGCGATGGTTTCACATGAAAGCCCGGGGCGACTGGAGGTGCCTCATTCGTCGCGATGTTAAACACGGGAATTGATTCTTGAATCGGATTTGCGATAATCCAATAACGGGGGAGGTGAATTATCACGCGCCTGACGGCGGCGATGTTGATAACCAGAGGCAAGATCAACCAATGTCTGCTCTGGCCCACAGACTCTATAGGAATAGGAACCAACTCTAAAAAGTGCCGGTTATACAGAATCTTTATACTGGTAGGAACGAAGTTGTAAACTGAGTGTACCAGCCTGCAATAGATTAATGTGTCCGTCCGTCCGTCCGTCCGAAACTGAGTGTACCAGCCTGCAATAGATAATGAGTCCGTCCGTCCGTCCCCTTTCAATACTTTAACGAAGTGAAATCTCGTGCTGTTGGTGTGTAAAAATACAATTGCGCAAAATTCCAATGTTCCTACCAGCCCACCCTGCAGGGACCTGTTTTAGACTGCAGGAGGAATCCGATGAGCCATGAAGCTCTTTTTGCCCAGATGTCCGGTCGGGGGGGACGAGTAAGTAACAGTTTGGTGTTCTGAGAATCGCCGGCACGGCGTGGCATTCCCACCGCCTGCCATTCCCACCACGCCGCTTGCCACTGCTGGTAGTCGGAGTGGTGGGCAATGGTAAATCAGGTCGCCGGGTTCAGAGTGCAGCGCGCTAACCGCCGTGCCACCGCTCCTCACTACCACCGAGCGGACCGTGCGTTGTATTATTATCATCGCTATAGGGCCCCGCCAGCAGGCGTGCTCGCGAATCGACAGTGGATGTATAAGAGGCGCTGGGCAGACGTGGGGAGTGGTGGGGAGGGGTGGATGGAGTACGAGCAACGTCACAGATTGGTCTGACGTTTGACTCGTATTCACTCGCCATCGATAGCTCAACTCCTAAACCTGCAAGGATTTTTACAAAAAACGTTGTGATGACGATCATCATCATCGTCCGTGATCAATCTACTGCTGGATGATAGCCTCTGCAAGCTGTCGCCGTCGCTTACAGTCCTGCAATTTGCAAACAATCCACTCACGGATGACGCCATCGCTCCATCTCCACGGTGGGGGAGGGACTCTTCGGCGAGTTTTATCTCCTTTGGCTGCCACTCCGTCATTAGTCTCGGCCACCGGCCATCGACCCTCCTAGCCGTGACATGTTCTGTGCAAGCACACACAACGCCTGTCTCAGCAGTCAACAAGATCTCTCTCAACTTCTGTTCTCTCTCGAATCCACGTGCTCCCCTGCGGGTCTCTTCAGTGCAACTCCCCAAGCGGGAAACATTATTTTTTCAACTCACCGAGTGAATGGGCACGCTACAAAGTTATCTTCAGACTGTACGCAGGGAAGCCTCGCCGAGTCTCAAGACTTGCTTTCAGGAGAGTCCTGCTACCTTGGAATGTTTGGCCAACTCCCTTTTTATTAATTAAAAGGCAGTGGATTGCCCCGGAGGAACCCCACCACGCATATGATGAGATTAATAGTGAAAAGATCCACCACACAGATGAGGTCACGAACCCTCTTGCTTTACTTGCTATCCACTTGCCACCTCGCAAACCCAGCAGGTTCGGGGAGCTTCGGAAATCTCTGTGTGATCCACCAACCCCCCCCCCCCCCCTCCGCCTCCAGAGCGCTGCTGGATCACAAGTGTGTGCCATCATGCCCGGCATCAATGCAGACATCTGGTTAAGACATCCCATCATATGTCTTGCCTGGAGATGTATTCATGTGCCTCTTGACAAGTCCCATGCGGAGCATTACATTACATTAGGTTCACTTCTGTGAGTTCACAGGACCAATTGCAATGCCACTTAGAGGGTGTCATTCCCTCTGCGCTGGGGCAAGGCATCTTGGGTCCCGACGTTGTCTTCACGGATCTGAGTTCATTCCTTTGATTCTGAGTCTTCTCCGTGTAGGTGAATCGACGTCTAACCCCAGGCTTTGGCTGCGTGCAAGATGCGGGAGCGCCAACTGTGGGGGGTGTTGATCCCTGCGTCTCGTCTCCTCCGCGGGTTTTTCCTGCCAGACGAGTTCCCCCTCTGCTACGCGATACACCAGAGTGAATACTGAGACAAGAGTCCACCACTATCGTCGGGTCTGAATCTTATCCAACTTGCTGGGTGAACGATTCCCCACCACGCCGATGCCATCTCTCGCGGTCCCTACGACGGCAGAGTCCGACTCGCTCCTGCACACCGACTGATCTCATAGGGCGCTGCAGTGGCCAGATGTTAACTACCTCGCCTGGTGTACAGGATGTCGTGGGTTTCAAGTCCTGCCCTGACGCCTGTGTATTTGGAGTTTGCATGTTCTTACCGTGGTCTTGTGGGTTTTTCTCCGGGTCCTTCGGTTTTTCCTTCTCCATTTAGAAACACGCGTTTAGAGTATTTGACTGCTATAAATGTCCACGTGATAAGCCACTTCGTTGATTTATCAATTGTGGCCAGGTCGCTTCTGAAAAAGAGCTACATAGTTCAGTGGGCCTTACCTGGTAAAGTGAACATCGTTAGTGTTGTTGAGTTTGTTCATTGATCCATCAAACCGGTGTGGTCGTATCTTCAGTTGCTACTCCATCACCGGTCTCATCCATTGTTGGCACGTCCTGCCCGAGCCCACGACTTCTCCTTAGCAGTCAATATCAGGCCTCTAGTTTGCATTTGTTCTCTGATACATGAATTCCCCTTTCTGTCCCTCAGTCTAATCCCCACTACCAGGCATGCGTAAACAAATTTGCACCTCTAATTAGCTCGGTTGGCTACGTACGGTGCGAAAAAAATTAAACATACATACAAAGCATTCATTAACATTGATTGTAATCAACCTATTAGCATTCTCGACCAATGAATTCCAGCAGCGCTTGTTTAAGCATCACACTGTGCGGTGGTTTTTACTTCTCTGAGTCTCATCCGCAGGGTGCAGACTGACACACAAAAGGGCCGCTGCTAGGTTCGCCTGATGTTATTGGCAGGTGCACAACATGCACGTCATGGGGCCCCGTTCAATGCAGTACAGCAACCCGGTACAAAATAATACGTGGAATGTGCTGTTAGGGTGGATCGTGGTTTAAGTGGGAATTTATCTACAAAGACACGGATCCCCCCGTATAGCCTTAACGGACGGTTGAGGGAATTGCTATACATTTCCACACGATAGCCACCTATGAAGGACGACAC